TATAATAGCTTGATTCAGTATATCACGGATAGAGTTTTTTTTTTGTTTGTTCTGAGAAAGAAGCTAACGCTAATTGCGTAATTCATATTAGACATCAAGTCACATGACTAAAAGAATAAAATGTGGTAAAGCGTACTCACAATATTGTAATTTGAGCACGAACATGGTAAGAAGTGTTTTTTGCACCATCATTGCATTGTTCTGAGTTAACTGAAGTTGCCACAAAATTCATTAGGATCGATTTAATCTTAACAGTCAACTGGAACATTGTAAGTACTTGTGAGATCTCTCTGTTATGTTCTTATAGCCGCAAATAAAACTTATTTTCTTTCCTACAGTGCAATCAAAATATGTCGGAACAGGCCATGCAGACACGAATAAATTGTAAGTATTGCTTATAAATGATTTTATTTCTACTATTAAAGAATATAAGATTCTCAACGTTTATCTTTTATTCACAGTGAATGGTTGGTGAACCAACATAGAGACAGTTACGCTTCTTACATTGGACACCACGCACTGATATCTTACTTTGCAGTTGCACAGAATGAGTCTGTTGCAAGAGTCAAGTTTGAATTTGTTGAGGTAAGATAACAATAGGGTTAGAGAGAAAGAGACGCTAAAATTTACAGCGACTGCTATCAAATATTAAGCTAAATCGCATCCGCACATCTGATTACAGAAAATGCTCCAGCCTTGTGGAGTTCCTGTTCCAAGAGATGAATGATGCCTATTAACGAGAAAAGGGTTGACGTTGGTTTGGCCATGATATAGCGTCGGCGCTGCTATTATTCTGCAGTAAGTTTTAGCATGCTGAATGCATCAACCAAGAACTATTTATACGGTATCTTAACCAATACGGGGATGTTTATCTTAATTATTACACTGATTTCTATATGAACAACCGAATTATATGTACTTTTTTATCACTTGAGCTCAATAATGGGTGGACGCAATAGAATTGTTGACATGGCATACTAATACATCAAGCTAGTCTGATTAATCGATGGTTCCACATTTATGTTGTTTCCGAATCACCCACTTTAGGGGACAGGTATAAAGATTCTGAATATGGTGCTCAATTTGTAGCGCATC